ATCACTTGAGTGGCGTGGACACGTTTTTTTTTTTTAAAAAAGTTTTTTTTTAAATATTCTTTTTTTATTTTTAGATTAATATGATTATGTTAAAATAAGTTTTAAAAATAAAAAATATATATTATTATAATGTATTTTCAAGCTATCCTAGAAAACCTCTCTTAAAATCTCATCTATAAACTTCAATTTTTTTTTATAAATAATTATTCTATATTATATTAAGATTTTAATGATGAAGTGATATATATATATATATATATATCACCACATTCAATTATTTATAAAATATTAATAAAATTATATATAAAATAATTGTGAATGAATATATATTTTAAGCTTAAAAGATTTGTAGTTAAAAAATATATTAAAAAATAATATAAAATTATTTTTTAAAGCTTATGTCCATGCCTAAGTCACCACAGGGATATAAACTTCCCTTTAAAACAAATATAAAAAGTGGGTGCTAATTGATTAAGTGTATTTTTTGTTGTTGTGTTTTAAAAATATTTTAAAAAAATTAAAGTTTTTTTTTATTTTTTCTACTTTAAATTAATATTTTTGATGTTTCAAATTATTTTAATATATTGATATTAAAAATAATTTTTTAAAAATAAAAATATTATTTTAATATATTTTTAAATTAAAAATACTTTAAAAAAAATAACTACCACCCTATCAAGCTCTTATATATAGAATGATATGCGTGTGCAAGCGTACGGCTCCTAAAAGAGAGATCATACGAAGAGCTAGGGATATCTAAAATTTAAAGAGGTTGCATTCTAGTATTTTTGCCCGCTCTTCCGTAGCAGACAATGTTTATCAGTGAGTAACAACATTATTCATAGTGATAGATTCGAGAAGCACCAAGAATTTGGACAAGGAAAAAATATTACTTTATAATATATTAAATCAAATGAAGCACCATTATCAAGGGTCAATTCTTTTAGTTTTTTAGGTAATCATTTATATATATTTTTTATTTTTTAAATATAAACGCATAAGAATAATTAAAATATTTATTTCATTATAATTAAACTTATATTATTCAAATATTTTAATTTATTTGAACAATACATTTCTCCTAGTTTAAAAAAAAATATTATAATTTGATGGATGTAGCCAACTAGTCAGGTTTCAAGTTTGTTTTTTAAAAATTATCATTTCGAGTTTTATAAATCTTAAAATCATTAAAAATTTATATAATTATTAATTTCAGGATCCATAGATTAGTTAAAATATTCATAAATTAGTCTTAACACTTATGTTAATAAAAAAAATGAGGGGAGCATTATATATATATGGACTAAATTAAAAGAGTTTCTTACTCATGTTTGTAAGGCCTATAAACAAAAAGCCTAAATAACATTACATTAAAAAAAAATTAAATAATAAAAAAAAGTTAAGTTGTATCATCTTAAGTTTCGGATTCACTTTTGTAAGCCCGGATGAAAGGCCTATATTATATATATAAATTAAAAACTAAAAGTAGGAGGACCAAATGACATTATGAAGGGTTAATTTTTATTTTTAAAATAAAATTAAAGTGTTTAAAGGCCTAGATCAAGAAAAAGAAAAAACCAAAGATAAGAGTATCAAATTACATTAAGAGTCAACCGTATTCCCTCAAATTTAAAAAAAAAAAATTGCTAATTTTTTTAAATTGTTTTGATATACTGATTTTAAAACTAACTTTTAATTTTTTTAAAAATATTTTAATGTATTTATAAGTAAAAATCATTTTAAACCATAAATATTATCACAATTTCAGACAGATCCTAAAAAAACAAAAAAAAAGATTAAGGTGATTCATTATTTATATAAATAGTTCAATGTTTTTTTTTTCGTTTTTTTTGTACGTTTTACATCCAATTTTAAAAAAATTTAGTTTGAGGATTATCTTGAAAACCATTTCATGGCTGAGAGATAATTTGAGATTTGTGCATGTAAGACTTGCTTAACAATTTCGGGTCCATCTTTATTCTATCCCACCTTTTTAATTTGGAAGCAAACTCTTAACACGCACCAATTAATTACCATTCTCTCACAAGAAGATTGCTAATTAGAAAATAATAAAGGTGAATATTCATGATTATTTTCTAATCAGTAAAGAGAAAAAAATAAAAAAATGAACAATTGAAGACAATTAGCTAGAAAAACTATTCTAATAATCTATTACAGAAAATGATGAAGCATTTTATATAATTTACTTTATTATATATATATATATATTTAGATATCTTGCTATACAATTAAATTATCTCACAATATAATTATCTTCTATTCTAAGTTTCTTCCGAGCCTTGACAATATAACTTAATTATTCCTCTAAATTAACCTACCTGGACGTAAATTAAATAAACATTTTTCAAGCATTGCATGCCTTGAGATTCGATATCAAGACAGTTCTTGCACGTTCATTCTACTTCACGAAGTGAGGAAAAGCACCTCAATCTGCGCAACCTTTCCTTTAATCGAGTTTTTTGCCAGAACATCTCCTCTCTCATTGGCTTTGTTGTCTTGGGATTGTAATAGTAATTGAAATTTAAAATATTAATAAAAAAATGAACAATTGAAGACAATTAGCTAGAAAAACTATTCTAATAATCTATTACAGAAAATGATGAAGCATTTTATATAATTTACTTTATTATATATATATATATATTTAGATATCTTGCTATACAATTAAATTATCTCACAATATAATTATCTTCCATTCTAAGTTTCTTCTGAGCCTTGACAATATAACTTAATTATTCCTCTAAATTAACCTACCTGGACGTAAATTAAATAAATATTTTTCAAGCATTGCATGCCTTGAGATTCGATATCAAGACAGTTCTTGCACGTTCATTCTACTTCACGAAGTGAGGAAAAGCACCTCAATCTGCGCAACCTTTCCTTTAATCGAGTTTTTTGCCAGAACATCTCCTCTCTCATTGGCTTTGTTGTCTTGGGATTGTAATAGTAATTGAAATTTAAAATATTTTTTATTTTAAGGTATATTAAAATAATATTTTATTATTTTATTATAAATTATTTTTAAAATTAACATATTTACTCTCATTTTATTTATGATAATAATTATGATTTTAAATGGTTTTTATTTAGAAATATATTAAAAAAAAATAAAATTTGAAAAAATACATTTTACATCGCATTAACAAACATACTTTTGATGAACAAGCAGTTTCTTGGAACCTTGTTATCCAACCTGCTACAAGAAACTAGTAATTAAAAACATAAAAATATAAGTTTTAATAAAAATAAAATTTTAAAAAATACATTTTACATCGCGTTAACAAACATACTCATGATGAGATGAAAGCAGTTTCTTGGAACCTTGTTATCCAACCTGCTACAAGAAACTAGTAATTCCTAGTGTTATGCATCAAGCTAGTGCAGGAATTCTCTCTATAAATCCACCCACCCATCACAATAACATCCGAGACAATAAATTTATATCTTGAAATGAGAGGTTATTGTAGAATTATAGCTTGTTGCTTTTTATTCCTACCCTTCTTATCCTCAGCAAATTCTACTTTCACATCTTTGTCACAAGCTTCTTCTCACCCTTTCTTAGGCCATCGTTGCGTTGGCAGTGAAAAGACAGCCTTGCTCCGACTCAAAAGGGATTTATCTGCGGCCAAACCAGAATCCCCTCTTCCTCTCCAGCCCGCCTCAGGTTCTTTGCTTACTTCATGGAAGCCTAACACTGATTGTTGCTCCTGGAAAGGTGTTACTTGTCATGAAGTCACAACTGATCATGTGATTGGCATTAACCTCAGTGGTCACAACCTTTCTGGTCTTGTTAACTCAACCGAGTTTCTTAACCTCCCCTACCTTGAAAGGCTGAATCTTGTCAACTGCAATTTGGGAGAAATCCCAAGTTTCCTTCGAAAAGTAAGTAGGTTGGTGGAGCTCGACCTTTCTAACAACAAAATCCATGGCCATGTGCCTAAATGGATTTGGCAGTTTGAAAGGCTAGTTTACTTGAATTTGTCTAACAATTTCTTGAATGGATTTGAAGCGCCATCGTCTGATCCGTTTTTAAGCTCTTTGACCTTTCTTGATCTTAGCTCCAATTTGTTAGAAGGATCAATCCCAATTCTACCACCCTCTGTCAGCTTCCTCTCGCTTGCTAAGAACAGGCTCACTGGAGAGATTCCAGAATCATTATGCAGGATAAGAAATCTAACAATCTTGGATCTATGCTACAATTCTATGACAGGTCAAATTCCAAAATGTCTCGAGGCTCTTGCTGCTACTCTCACTGTACTAAATCTACGGGAGAATAATTTTTTTGGGTTGATGCTCTGGGATTTCACCGAAGACTGCAGCCTAAAGACACTCAACTTATACGGGAATCAGTTGACAGGGAAAATTCCCAGGTCTCTGAAGCATTGCAGATGCCTTGAAGTTATAGACCTTGGAGATAACCAGATTAATGACACATTTCCTTTCTGGTTAGGGATGCTTCCCAACTTGCAAGTTCTCATCCTACAATCAAATAGATTGCACGGTCCCATTGGCCAGCCATTGACATCAAATGACTTCCCAATGCTTCAAATCTTTGATCTCTCCTCGAATCATTTCACCGGAAATCTGCCACTGGATTACTTTGCAATATGGAAGTCAATGAGGGTAAAGTTCAACGGGTCACTATTGTACATGGGATCTTACTATTATAGGGATTGGATGTCAATTACAAGCAAGGGCCATAGAATGGATAATATCAACATCTTAACAATTTTCACGATCCTAGACCTCTCAAACAATCTTTTTGAAGGAGAGATTCCTGAAGAGATTGGTGACCTCAAATTACTAGAAGTACTCAACGTGTCTAGAAATAACCTGAAAGGTGAGATCCCAACATCGCTTTCGAAGTTGGCATTGCTTGAGTCCTTAGACCTCTCAAAAAACAAGCTCACAGGCGCGATCCCGATGCAACTAATAAGCTTGACGTTCCTATCGGTTCTTAACCTTTCTTATAATAGATTAGAGGGGAAGATACCTGTAGGGAATCAATTTTCTACCTTCACTAGTGATTCCTATCAGGAAAACTTAGGTTTGTGTGGGTTTCCGTTGTCCAATAAATGTGATGACGTTGAAGATCAACAGCCACCAGGTGCTCAACAAGAGACCATCCTTTTTGAGTCAGGTAGTCTATTCAGTTGGAAATCTGCTTTGCTTGGATACGGATGTGCGTTGCCTGTGGGAGTTGCCATTGGTCACACGTTGTTTTGGAGGAACAAGAGATGCAGTAAATTGATTGAACAATCATTCAAGGCAAAGAATTGGCAGAGCAATGAACGCAATCGAAAAGGATGATGAACGCTGTGCAAAGGAAAATGTATAATTCCAAATGTTCTCAGTGTGTTCATAATGTTTCACTAAAATAACATAGAACTTGTTCTGACAAACCTATCAAATTTGAGTAAATTATACGTTTGTTCATGGTTTGTGTATTTTCTTAAAATGGAAAAGGCATCGAACTACTTGTTCTGACAAACCTATCAAATTTGAGTAAATTATACGTTTGTTCATGGTTTGTGTATTTTCTTAAAATGGAAAAGGCAACCTGATTGGTGAACTCGTTTAAAATAATAGAAACTCTCTCCTTCACTAAATGGCACTGTTTTTAAGGAAATAACAAAAAATGTAAATGAAATGGCTCGATTTAGACAACATGATGTCGTTTCGGTGTTTTTTTTTTTTATTTTCTTTTTCCCATGGACGCATGTGAAGGTTTGTTCTCTCTCTGATCTGTTCATAGTTTTGGCTTGACCTTTGACTGCATGTTTCTATCTCCCACGCCTCCCACAATGCCAAGAATTACACCACCACGCTTACATGCATGTATATTACATGTTCAGCCTAAAAAACAAAGTTCTAATCCTTTCAAATGCTGCAAAAATTATTGAGAAAAGGGCTATTCAAGCATGCTTTGTCCAAAACATCAATTATGGTGAAGGTTGAGATCAAAATCAAAGGTACTAATGGCCATAATCATGACAACAAGAAGGGTTTCAAAACCATCATCATTACTTATAAATAGAGAGGCAAAATAATAAATATAAAGATCCAAGCTAAAGAGAAAAAATACAGAGAGAGATAGATAGAAGAAAAAAAAGTCTAGAAGTAACAATGAGAGTTATTTAAGTTAAAAAAATAGCATAATGGAGAGAAGAAGAAAAGAGAAAGAAAAAAAAAAAACCTGAAGAGAAAGAGAGGGAAAACTAATCAAAACCAAACCAACCACGACTCAGCCATCATCTCTACCACTAGTAGCTACCATTGTAGCTTCTCCGTCGTCTTAAACCAGCCCCAAGGTAAGACCCTACCTCTTTTCTCTCTTTTCTTCCTTCTACTTTAGGGTTTTGCATGATAGTTACTGTACATGCTTCTTCTTTCTTACTGGATTTGCAATAGCATTAGATTTATTTTATGAAATTGTGTTGGTGCCTTTTTAAGTACATGTGTGTGTAAAAATTATTTTTTGAAAATCAGCAACTTTTCACTTATGCATTTATTTTATCTTATTTTATTTTTAATGGCTTTTAATTAGTGTTAGATTCATTTCATAAAATTGTATTATCACATTTCAAGTACACATATGTATGAAAAAAATATAATTTTTGAAATTCAACAACTTTTCAATCATGCATTTATTTTGATTTTATTTTAATTTTATTGGCTTTGCAATAGCATTAGATTCATTTTAAAACTATGCTATTATATTTTTAAGTATGCATGTGTACAAAATTATGTTAAAAAACTTTTTACTCAAGCATTTATTTTATTTTATTTTTACTTGCTTCACAATAGCAGTAAATTCATTTTATAAAACTGTGTTATGCATGTGTGATTAGAAATTTATTTTTGAAAATTGCAGACTTTTTATTCATATATTATTTATTTTATTTTATTTTTAGTAGTTTCGCAATGATGTTCATTTTACTTTGTAAAACTTTGTTCTTATCCTTTTTACTTATGTATGTGTACATAAATATTTATTTTTCAAATAAAGAATAAAAATATATTCATCAAGTTTAACATTATTATTTGTTTTAATCAAAGTTTGGGCTTCAATAATTAAGTTGATGTATCTTCTAATGTGAGAGACCGATATAGGCCTAGCACAATATTTAAATGTGTTAAAAAGTGAGTTACATGTTTACATGTTTTTGACAAGTTAATATCATGCTTGGATTAATCTTGGTTTTCAATGTTAGGTTAACAAATCTTCTAATTGTAGAGACTAATATAAACATAGCATGATGATTTTAAATTAAAAAAATTATTAAATTGCAAGACTCCTGATTTAAAATACAACATAAACTTGACAAATATTTATTAACAATAAATGACTTATAAATAAATTCAAAAAATAATTTGAACAATATACATAAGAATAAATTTAGAAAAAAACATATAGTTAAGATAAAACTAAGAAACAGTGAATATTTTAGTATTTTTAATTTTCTTAAAAATTAGGTGGCTATTATATATTTTATTTTTTTTCTTTTAACCTTTTATTACTGGGATTTTTACAAGTAACAAAACCTATATTTCTAACTTATTAAAATGAATGTTTGATTTTCTTTAATAATTCTCAATTAGAAATTTAAACATTTATATGGTAGATATTTAAACATTTCAAGCAACTTGACATAAATGATTTTAAAAAACATATAAAGCTTAATCGCATTAATCAATACACAATGTATATTATTTTAATCTATATTAAATATTTGATCTTCATTCATGAGTGGGGCTTTGGTTGGAGTTTATATCCTTGATTTGTTCCTCGAAGGTATTTTTCTTCATTTTGATAATTTTGCGTACTTTGGTTGTCTCATCCTCAATCTTTTGGTCCTTTTAATTGTATGAAAAATGAAGTTTAGTATTTTTGATGAAAAAGTGTTGTTCAAGTCTTCATATGATTAATTATAAACATGCAATAGCTCATTATATACATTTTAAACGTAATGGGTATTTATAGTTTATAATGTAATAAGTCATAATAATTGTACTCTTCTATTCCATTACAAATTTTAAAATTACAATATCTTTATATTACATAAACCATTACATTGTATTAAATATTTTATTATAGATGCAAAATTAATTAGCTAATTATTGAGTATTTTTCTTCCACGACACCAGTTGAAATAGGATAGCATATCGCTATCATTGTTGTATTTTTTGGTGGGGGTGATGCTGATCATGTAAATAATTTTTTTAATAATATTTATTTTAAAAATTTTTTCCTTGTCAACTTGTTAATTATTAAAAAAAAATTAATATGACAAGACATACGAAGCCCTTTTTATAAGTTTAATTTGTATGGCATGTAATAATAAAATAATTTTTTCGGTGTATATCTAAAATATAAAAAAATCAAATTATTCATAAATATAAAAAAATTGATCGCCATATTTATTTGTTCATAAGAGAAGAAGGGGAGGAGGAAAAATCTTGAGCATGAGATGAAGGATGATTGCACACTTGATTCTGGTTCCTCTAGTTCTTGGTTTTGTTCTTATGTTCATATTCTGTGGTGGCCTTTTATGGCTTGACCCTCTTAGTGACATGGACGTACTTCATGGGTTTCACTGCTATTGCCCTTTT